CGTGTTTTCTTTTCCTGTACAAGAAGGCATTCTCCCACTTGGCTGAGAAGAGATGACTTCCCCTCTGTGTCTGCCAATGGAGTGGTACTCTGCACTGAAAGCTTCAACTGGCATTAGAAAGAAGCACATTCTATCAGGAGCACAGTTCCATACAACATGCTCCCTTCCTTCTTCTGTTTTACACTCTACTGTTCATCCTGTAGAATATTCTGCAGCTTATCTATTGTATCCACCCCTTTTGCACCCACCTATGTTCTTTTCTGATTTCTAGTGCTTGTTACCTGACCTCTTACTTAATCCAGGATTATACATTTACCACTCTTCGGGTACATCCAAGGTTCACAGGTTATTGAGTTGCTCAGGTTACTTAAAAGTGCAGAGCTGATGCTTTTCTTTCAGAGCTGCCCGGAGTTTTCTTGCAGTGCAGCTCTGCCACATTTCTGCAGCAATGGCCCTGCTGCTTCCTTCTCATCCACAAGTCTCAGTGTCGCTGCTTCTGCTGCTGTCTGTGCTCAGCTTGGCTGCAGGTGGGAAGCTGCTGGTGGTGCCTGTAGATGGGAGTCATTGGCTCAGCATGCGGGAAGTGTTAGATGGAGTCAAGCAGAAAGGACATGAAATAGTTGTCGTTGCACCTGAAGTCAGTGTACACATAAAGCCAACAAATAATTTTATTATGAAAATGTACCCAGTCCCTTTCACACAGGAAGAGATGGATGGCAGTTTCCGGGAATTTTCTAAGGAGGCGTTTGCAGAAGGACCCTTTCTGGAAAGGCTTGCTACAATTCGTCAACGTCTTCAAAGAATGTCTGCCGTATACCTGTCTTCTTGTGAGCATTTACTGTACAACAAAGAGCTCATCAGATATCTTGAGGAGTCTGAGTTTGATGCTCTCTTTACAGACCCATTTTTACCCTGTGGGCAGATTCTGGCTGAACATCTTTCAATCCCTTCTGTGTTTCTTTTACAGCAAATACCATGTGGATTAGATATTGATGCCACTCAATGTCCCAACCCCCCTTCTTACGTCCCCAGGATTTTCAGTGGCAATTCAGACCACATGAACTTTCTCCAGCGTGTAAAGAATATTCTTTTTGACATCCCACATTCTATTCTTTGTCATCTTCTCTTTCAACCGTACACAAAACTGGCCTCTGAGTTCCTTCAGCGGGATGTGACTGTATTAGATCTCTTACGCAAGGCATCTATTTGGCTTGTGCGATCTGACTTTTCTATCTATTATCCAAAACCACTAATGCCAAACATGATCATAATTGGAGGAATAACCTGCAATCATAAGAAGCTATCTCAGGTAGGTGATGCCCTTGTTTCTTTCTTCACTAGTATTTTCACTGTAGAAGTTTGTATCATTTAGTTAGAAAGATTTAACTGTATAAACAGGTTCAAACTGCTTTTCACATACCAAGAGATGCCAGTATTTGTTTAGATGAAGACACTGACATATTACAGTGTAGAAATTGAGTTTAGAACAGATATATCTCAGCTGACATCTATGTAGATTTGTAGATCTGAATCTACGCTTGTTGCTCTGAACCAAGCCCATAATACCTTCTGTAACCATTTGAGAAACTCAACTTCTCTGCTAGAGGTAAAGGTAAAAGGTAATGTAAAAGGTGATGAGAACAGCTTAAGATGTTTGTATGAGAGCGCTGTTCATGAGAGCAGCTGGTGCTTCTGCTAGGTAGGTGTCAGTGTCTCTGTGTGCTTGTAGATGAGTGCAGTCAGACGAAATGTGAAATAGTTGGCCCTGAAGGTGCAAGAACAGATCTCCCAATAAACGCCAGAGAGGAAAGAAGGAGATGGGTGCAGTAGTGTTCTGAAGGGAAGACAGGGATGGACGTTAGCTGATGAGCAGGTCTCATGGAAAATCATCCTATAAAAAGTCTGAACAGGCCTGCGAGGGAATAGTTGTGTCTGTGCAAGGAGTGTACCCCCTGATGCTTGACGAATGTGGAGC